TATGTTCTCTCCTGTCTTCAAAAGTGTGTATTTGTATGCATGTGGTAGGTCATATTTAGAGCTTATTTAAGAAGGAAAAGAGCAGTGTATGTTGCACAATACCCTGTGCTGAACATTGAGAGAGAGCTTCAGCGAACTCCTTACTAATACACTGTGGGACTAACAGACTTTCACACATGACTTACATGGTACTAGTGAATGGGAAAACCATAGTATTTATTAGTTTTTGGAGAATTCCACATTGGGAAATCAAAAATAACATCACTGGAGTGTGCTTATTTTAGTGACTTTGAATATCTATTTCTGTGACAGATGGGAACAATCTTTCCACGTGGACTCATTCTCCAACCCCACCCACCTGCTTCCATAGGACAGGATAGCAACTCTATGAAGGGTTCCATGCTGACACAAAGGAATAAGGGTATAAGCCACATCATGCTGTAGTTAAAATTTTTATTAGCACTCCTGGGCTGCTGGCGGCATGTTGACCCAGGGGAAACCCTGGGCTGCCTGCCGGCGGCTCAGACTCCCTCTCCCAGCGCAGCGGCCGCTCTTTTAAAAAAAAAAAAGAGGGGGGGAGGGGCGCCGCTTTTTGACACCCCCAAATCTTGGCGCCCTAGGCAACCGCCTAGTTGGCCTAAATGATAGCACCGGCCCTGGGAGTGAGTCACTGCTGCAAAGCTGACCACCGAGCACCTTTTTACACCAGTTTCTGACCTCCTTCCTTCTCTCTTCCTCCTTCCCCCCAAGTAAAGCTGCCCTTCTCTGGGTAAGCACCAGACAAAATGTGTCCCACTTTAGTTGTGGTGCAGTCATTCTATCCCATAACAACCCCACCACATATTCTGTTTATGCTACATATTTACAGAAAATATTTTAGAAGAGGTTGAGTTTGTTAAAAATTTGAAAATAGTTTTATGTCCCTCCATCTGTGAATGCTGTTTCTCTTTGTACCATTAGTCCATTGTACAGGGGCCAGTGGAAGAGGAACAAACATATCCGGAACATCTTAACAATTATTTTTAATCGTCTTTCTTACGTTAGTGTCTAGGAACCAACAGGATTGGTACAAATATAAAATAGTAAACAGTGCCTGCCCCAAAGAATTTATAATCTAAATAACAAATGTCCCAAATAGCTTTTCTGTGTGCTCATTAAAATATTATGACTTTAAAGTCCTATATCTTTGGATCTTCTTGGGCTAGACTAAAGTTCTTTGTAGGTCATTGGGAAACTATGAGGAGGAGTCCCGTTTTCAGTGGTATAAAGGTCTCACTGCTAGCTTTGTGGAGCCAAAAAAAATGGTTGAACCTTTGACCACTCACTGTTTCAGAACTGAATATCGCCTTTACTGGGCTTGAAGTCTGTAATTTTAGCAGCGACATGCCAGCTTTTGAAGGAGAAGCAAACATTTTGTGGCAGGTTCAATTTCTTAAAATTGCAGATTTTTGACATTACTCAGAGATTTGAAGTATTAGAATGGATTTCAGTGGAGATGGGTGAATGGGTAGACTACAGGTGATGCCATCAAAGAGACAAGGCAAAGGTCATGTAGCACATGGTTATTTTATTTAGGGCTCAATCCTTCAAGGCTGCTTAGCACAGTCTAGCCCATTCCAGCAAAATACTTATGCATGGTAAGCACATAACTTTAAGGGTAGATCTCCACTACAGCTGGGAGTGAGCCACCCCACCTGGCTATACAGGCTGGTGGTAGTTAGGTTCATGCAAGCATGCTAAAAATAGCAGGTGGACATTGTTGGGTACAAGCTGCAGAGGCTGGCACAAGCCTCCACTGGTGCTGCAATGTTCACACTGCTAGTTTTAGCACACTAAAGCAAGCCCCACTATCACAAGCCAGTCTACTTGGGCTGGGAGGCTCACTCCCAGCTGCAATGTAGACATACCCTAATAGTTTTGTTGTATTGGGTTAGAATGCTCAGCACCTTGCAGAATCAAACCCTTAATTGCATGGATCTTGATCCTGCAAATCCTTGCATGTGAATGGTCCCACTGAATTCAACAAGTCTGCTCCTGAGAGAGGGAGCTTCTGTGTAGAGGACTCTAAACCCAGACTAATAGACTATGGGTCTCATAGGTACCAACTTCTAATGGCGCTGGTGGGTGCTTGACCCCCTCTACCCACGGCTCCGCCTGACTACACCCCGGCCCCGCCCACTCCGGCCCCCATTCCAACCCCTTCCCCAAAGTCCCCGCCCTGACCCCGCCCCCTCCTTGCCCATATTCGACTCCTTCCCCAAATCCCTGCCCCAGCCCCGCCTCTTCCCCGCTTCCTCCCCTGAGCACGCCACGTTCCCACTCCTCCCCTCTCCCTCCCAGATCTTGCTACAGCTGTTTGGCGGTGGCAAGCGCTGGGAGGTAGGTGGAGGAGCTGGGACGCGGTGTGCTTAGGATAGGAGACAGAGCACCCACTAATTTTTCCCTTCAGGTGCTCCAGCCCCGAAGCATCCATGGAGTCGGCACCTATGATGGGACTAAC